AGTTCTCCAGGTTTTCCCTGGGGAGCCATTCATTTTCCGAGTTTGGCCAGCCCGAGAATTTGACAAAGTACCAGAGCCGTCCATATCGGTACCTGGAGTCCATGATTTTCTCCACCTCATACTCCTCTTCCCCATTCACGATGTCCGGGCCCGGGGGTGGGTCTGTCTGGCGTTCGGCAATCCTGTTGGGGGCATAGGGGCGGATGTTCGTGACCGAGACCACCGGGTGGATTCCCCTCTGCCGGGCTGTGAGCTGTAACTTTACCGCTGCCGGGGATACTACCTTAACAATCTGGAAGGGGCCAATCCACTTGTGGTCAAGTTTCTTGGTTGGCCGGTCTGTTGTGTAGTTCTGGGTGTTGAGCCAGACCTTGTCCCCGACTTGGTATGCTGGTGCTGCTCTCCGGTTCCTATCATAATACCGTGCCATTTCATCCGCTGCATGCTCCAGTGCCGCTTTTGCCTCCTCCTGCATTTTCATCATCCGAGAGGCAAAGTCATTAGCCCCTTCGACTTCGGATGTGCGGGTCGGCTCAGTTCCCATGCGTGGATGCTGCCCGGAGTCAAGCTCAAAGGGGGTGCGACGGGTGGAGGAATGGACGCAGTTGTTGTAGGCGAACTCAGCAAGTGGCAGCCAGTCAGCCCAGTCATCCTGTCTGTGGTTGACAAAGACCCGGAGGTAGGCTTCTATCTCCTGGTTGACTCGCTCGGTCTGGCCATCAGTTTGCAGGTGGTAGGCTGTTGAGGGGGCGAGTTTGATTCCTAGGAGGGCTGCCAGCTCTCTGGAGAAGTGGGAGACAAATGCGCTGCCTTGGTCACTGAGCACCTCTTCTGGAAGGCCATGGTGTCTCCAGACGTGCTCGAGGAAGAGTCGGGCTATGCCTGCTGAGTCTGCTGTGGTAATGGTAGGGATTGCGTGGATGCGCTTGGAGAGCCGGTCCACCACCACCAGGATTGCGTTGTACCCCTTGGAGTCTGGGAGCTCGCCAATCGTGTCTACTGAGATCACTTGCCACCTGCGGGATGGGACTTTGTTTGGGATGAGCTTCCCGACCTTTCGGGAGGGGAATGTCTTCACCCGGTTACAGGTGTCGCATCCTGAGACGTACTGGGCTATGTATCGGGGCATCTTGGGCCACCAGTAGTTGCGGGAGATGAGCTCTAGGGTCTTCCAGCGCCCTGGGTGTCCCGTTGTTGTTGAGTCATGGTGGAGTCGGACCAGGTCATGGCGGAGTTTCGGGTCTCTTGGGACGTACACCTGTCCTCGGTAGAGGATCAACTCTCCCTCCTTTCCCCACTCGTCTGAGCGTAGGGTGCCCTTCTCTAGCTCCCTCAGTGCCTTCACCACCCCCTCGTCATGGTCCCTCCCTCTGCGTATTCTGTCGAGGATGTCTGCTTCCTCTCCCTCCACCGTAACCCCTTCTGTAGCTCTTACCTCAAACCAGTCCGGGCGCAGGAGGGTCATGTCCATATTGTCCTCCTTTCCCTTCAGGTGGTCTGGGCAGCGGGACAGTGCATCCGGCTTCCCCATGAGCCTTCCCGGTCTATGAACCAACAAGAAGTGGAAGCGGGAGAGGTAGAGGGACCACCGGGCCTGGCGTCGGTTCAACCTCTGGGCTGAGCGGAAGTAGGAGAGGTTCCTATGATCAGTGAATATGTCAAAGGTCTCTGGGGTGCCTTCGAGGAAGTGGCGCCACTCCTCTAGGGCCCGGACTATGGCCAGCATCTCTTTGTCGTAAATCTCATAGTTTCTCTCTGCATCCGAGAAGCCTTTGGACATGAAGGCCACTGGGTGGAACTCTCCATCCTCTTGGAGCTGAGAGAGTACTGCTCCTGTGGCGAAGTTCGAGGCATCACATTCTAGCCTGAGGCCAGAGTCGGAGGGGAAGGTGAGGACCGGCGCTGAGGTGACGGCTTCCTTCAATCCATCAAACGCCCTTTGTTCCTCCCTGCCCCAGGTCCACTGCTTGGACTTCCTGGTGAGTGCATGGAGAGGTCGGGCTTTCTCAGAGAAGTCCCGGATGAACCGGCGATAGAAGTTTACAAACCCAAGGAAGGATTGGACTTCCTTAACCTTGGTGGGCACTGGCCAATCAGTCACTCCTCACACCTTCACTGGGTCCATGGCAACATGGTTCTCCGAGATGACTAGCCCCAGATAGTTGATCTTCTGCTGTTCAAACTTGCACTTTTCCGGTTTGAGGAATAGTCTCCGGTTCCTCAGGGTGGTAAGGACTTCTCGGACAACCTTCCGGTGCTCTTCCAGGGTAGACGTGAACACTAGGATGTCATCCATGTAGCAGATGACAACCCCTCGGTCTATGAAGTCTCGGAGAATGTCATTCATCATCGTTTGGAAGGTGGCAGGGGAGTTGCACAGTCCAAAGAACATTACCATCGGCTCAAACAACCCTCGGTTGGTGGCAAAGGCAGCTTTCCACTCGTCCCCTTCTTTAATGCGGACGTTGTTGAACCCCCATCTCAGGTCGAGGGCTGAGAACCACTTGGCCGTGCGGAGTCAGGTGAGGACAGAGACGAGGGGGAGGGGGTAGGAGTTCTTGACCGTAATTTCGTTCAGTTTCCGGTAGTCCTGGACCAGCCTCAGGGAGCCATCCTTCTTTTTTACAAAGAACACCGGGGCCCCCATGGGGGACTTAGATGGGCGGATCCGTCCATTGGCCAGATTTTCCCTGAGGAAGTCGTCGAGTTCTCTCTGCTCCATGGGCGACAATGGGAATGTCTTTCCCCGTGGTAGCTTGGCCTCAGGGATAAGGTCAATGGCGTGGTCCCAGGGTTTCTGGAGGGGTAGTTCATCAAAGGCCTCCTTTGAGAACACATCCTTGAAGTCTTGGTAGTGTTGCGGTACCATCTCTTCGAAGGGTTGTTCCCTCGAGGTGGCATCCTGAGCTTCCTGGGCTAACCACTGCGATGGGGTGGTAGTCGCTCTCAGGTCGTGCCCCCATCCGGGGGGATTACCGCAGCATACACCCCGTCCCCAGGTTCCAGTGTGAGGTCAGGGTCCTTTGGGGTTACCGGCTGTGGCCTGAGGCCTCGGCAGGCAGGTGGGCATCGGGACATGGTGACTCTCTGCCGGGCCCAGTCCACTTCCGGGTTGTGGTGCAGGAGCCACGAGTGACCAATGATGACTGACTGACGGCCTAGGTTGGTTACTGCAAACCGGGCCCGCTCTGTGTGCCGACCGAAGCTAAGGAGCGCTTCCACCTCTTCCGTGATGGACCCGTTCTCATTCAGGGTGCCATCCACATTGTGGACTGGGACCGGCTGGGGGAGGGGGATGGTCTCCAGGTTGTGTTTTCAGACAAAGTCACGACTTATGAACATCCCTGTAGCCCCCGAGTCTAGTAGGGCAGAGGTGGTGACTGAGGCCAGGGACGTGGTGGCAGTCAGCTTCACCAGGAGGTTAAGGGATCGGGGGGGCGCTTGGACAGTACGTAGATCGCAGGTGGGGGGACGGCCACTTCGGCTACTGCGTCCGGGGAGCTGTTCCTTGTGGGGTTAGTGGGTGTGGCTTTTCTTTTCTTAGCAATCACTCGGTGTAGTTTAGGTCATGCAGTAGTTCTGGAATTACCATGGTATCTACATGCGGATACAGTGATGCTGGGGGGCGGCCGGGGCACATCCTTCACCGGTCACCTTCTCAAAAATCCTCAGCCAGTTCCTCCCCCGCCTCCTCCGCTTTTGCCTGATCCGGTCCTTGAGGGTGGTCCCTTAGTAGGTCTGCAATCGCCCGGAGGTCTTCCAGGGCTAGGCGGGCTCGCTGGGGTCTCAGTCTCAGGCAGTGTCGGGCCACATGCCCTGGTTGGTTGCAGTTGAAGCAGAGACCTGCTCGTCTCTGCTCCTCCCAGGGAGGGCGCATGCGGTCCAGGTCCATAGGCTGGGGGCCTGGCTTTGGGGTCGGGGTTGGGATGGTGGCTGGGGCGGCAGGGCGCATGGGTGCTGGAGCAGGTTGGGAGAGGAAGGGGGATGGCTTGGTGGCCGGGAGGCGAGGTTGGGTGGCTTGGAATCACCGCCATTGGTTGTCAAGAACTGAGGCCTCGCGCTTCCACTCAGCCCAAGTTGTGGGCATGGGCCGGAGGCGGTAGATGCTCTCACGGAGCCGGGGGTGGAGGGCATGCTCGAAGCGGTCCACCAGGGCAACATCTCCCATCCGTGAAACAGGGCCATACAGCTCAAACTGCTGGATCAGTTTGTCCACTGGTTCGTTCCCCTGTCGGAGCGAGACAAGTTTCTGGCAGGCAGTGGCTTGGCGGTTGGGGTCAGCAAACATGGAGTCCAGCTCCGCAGCGAAGTCATCGAAGGTAGTGGCTGGGGCCCCTGGGGCCAGGAGGGTATTGATTCGTTGAGTAGCCCATGGCCCTGCCGTGCCTCCTTTCATGTAGGAGAGGACGAATAGGACTTGGCTGCGTTCGTCTGGGAACTCCATGTGCCGCATGCTCATGTAGAGCCCGCACTCGGCCTTGAAACGGTCTAGGTCATCTTGGGACCCAGAGAATGGGGTGGGGGCGGCCACTTTAGGTGGTTTTGGGACTGGGGCATGATGGAGGGGTGGAGGGGCTACGGCTGTGGGTTGCCCTTGAGTGGTCAGCTGGGCCTGGAGGTCCCGGAGCTGGCGTGTCAGCTCTGCAATCTGTTCCTCTAATGACATCGGGGTGGGGGGTGCAACTAGGTTTAACCCTTCTTCTGCTGTCAGGGCCCGGCCCTCGTTCCGTGACGGGCCTAAGGGGATCCTCCGAGTCGCTGGGGTATCTAGTCCCAGTCCGAGGTCTTCAAACTCACTGAGGGGGCTAGCCCCAGCCTTCACAGGAAATGAGTTGAGAAGAAGGGTAACCTTCTCAACCTCCTGTGAAGCCGCTACAAATGGGAGTTGGGAACTATACAGTTTTCGGCTCTTTGCCGACTTTCCATAATTGGCACCCCCCCCCCGTGGGAAGATTCTGGGCGAGCTGCTTGCCCAGAAAGTTCCCACGGTTGTGGCTGTGATGGTTTCTGGGCGAGTAGCTCGCCCAGAACGTTCCCACGGGTCTGCATGCATGCGGGATTGTGGAACAGTGAAGGGAAAAATAGGAGAAAACGAGGGAAGGGTACCCGAGGGTGTGTGGGGTCAGGGGCTGTGCCCTGACAATCAAAAGCAGATTTTATTGTACCGAACTGAATTTCCCGGAATCAAATTTGGCTTAAGTCCGTTCATCCCTTTTTTCAAACTTTGAACTTGAAGTTTTGGCAAGCGAGAAAATGACTTCAAGACATTGAGCAGGCATGGGAGCAGCACCATATTAGTGAGTGCAGCATCTGCCTTCCAATCTCTCCTTCAGATACCAAGTTGAATGCCCTCCCAACATGTGTATGGCTCCACCCCAAAATCCCAACAAACCCATATCCTCATCCTGGCAGCGCTATTGCAGTGGCTCCAATGGTAATCCTGTGCCTGACATCTTTTCATGTTGATTAGGCTAGCCTTATGGACATAGTGCTGAGTGGCTACACTTGCATTGTAAAGAGGGACTTAAGGTGAGACTAAACAGATGAAGTTACTATGCTGAGCTGACACATATCTATTCTAGCATCAGGGCTATGCTACAGATTGACGGCACACATGGAGAGGTGGTGTCCAATTAGTGGGAAGGTAAACTATGACATGCACAATGGTAAATTTGGCCTTTAACTTGTTTCTCACTTTTGTGTTGATTTATTTACTACTCGAAACCAAAATGTCATCTGTGTCCACTTGAGCTGATTGTGATAGCACCACAACCATTACTATCAGCATTGAAATAGAATTGATATGACATCTATATATCAGGGTACCCTCTAGAATTGATTGTGCAATAGAAGTGATATATAGCGCGGCAATCGACATGGGAGGTTTGCTGATGTACAGGCTGCGCAATCACAGGATACATCTGGATCCGTGTCCGTGCTGATTCTTGTCAACACTTCATCCCCTGCTACCAGGAGCTTTGAGCCGCTCAACTTCCGGCATGTTGTTCTCGGCAACTATGCCTTCGAAGGGTCCTTTGCGCAACTTCCACACCGAGAGCACATTGTACATCGCGGGCATGAAACGTGTTTGAAGCATCGTTCACCTGACGCATTGAATGCGACTGATGACTCTCACCACTGCCACGTTGTCCTGCACCCTTCCCCTCCGATTCTCGTAACTTGGCCCTGATAATAGTTTCTCAGCCGTTGGGGTGCGGCTCGTCGCACGCCTAACACGTTTCTTCCTATTCAAAATGGAGAATTTTCCTTTTCAGGAGCCAATGCCTCAACGTACACGGCGTATGGACGGCCTTCACATCTTTCTCTTTCCCCTCGCACGTCGTCAGACACCTCGCAGAACGGCACCATCTTTTCCTAGACCTGTCTTGACTGCATGTCTTCAGCAACGGTGCAGGACACCAAGGATAGCTTGAAACGGGACCCGGAGTTCTCAACGTTTAGCTTTATCAATACACGGAGTTATTTCTTTGCGCCGGACACCCAGGAATCTGAGCAGGAGGAGTCGACGGATGCAAGGAGCGCTCAAAAGGATGCTCTCGTTGCTGTGGAAACTATGTCAAGTACGCAGAGATCTGGTTCGACTTCCAGTGGTGGGTCAGCGGAATTAGAATTGCCCAGAAGTGAGTACATGCGGCAACGCCAGGATCCGTGTTATTCTCAGGGTCTGATGTGGATGAATCTCTTTCCATAGTCTACTACCGTCTTTACGCCAGCGACGAAGGTGCCATCTTTGCTCAAAACCCGCTGGATGTAAACGACCCTTCGCTTAGCTCCATCTTCGCTGACTGGGCACCACCTCCTCATACTGTTGGGAACCTCAAGAAGTATATTTGCAACCGAGAGCAGTTTCATCCCTCGCGTGCAAGCGTATACCTCTCACGTCGTGACCGTTCGCCAGCCCTTGATTACACAAAAGTAGATCTACTTAGTTCGACTCTGAGACCTGGATCTACTCCCGAGAAGGCTATCGCTATTGTTGTACAGCTAGATGCAGAAGGATTGGGTACAGCAAGCAATCCGCTGCCGATAGCCTATAGGTGTAAGAAAGGGATGGAAGAAATGGCGCAGGCGATTCGAGCCGTTGTGGATGCTACCGCTCAAAAACGAGCGAAGTTGGCCATGAGGATCAAAAAGTTGAAGGAACGACGGGCTGAGGCGGGAAGGGAGAGAGAAAGAACGCGGGAGGAGCAGACGCTGGAGAGGGAACGAACGAAACGCCAAAAGGTGCTTCAAAGGGAGTTGATCAAGGTACACGAGAAAGAGCGGGTACGGGAGCGAGAAGCCACGAAGGAACGACAGAAGGCACAGGAATGGGAGACGAAGAAGGACCGGGAGCTAAAGGAAAGGGAGAATGACGCATTGGCAAACGTTGATCGGGGAGGAGAAGCTGCTCGGCAGCAGAGTCCCAGTCCTAAACCATCTTCTATTTCGCCTCCAGTACCACCCAAGACTTACCGACCGCCGCTGCGCCCTGGGACATATGCTTCGAGATCTGTGGTTCAAAGAGCTCGCGCGAGTATCACTACCAGCAATTCTGGTTCAGTGACGTCAAGAAGCATACAACGAAGACACACTACCGCCAATGCAAGACCACAGGCCATTCGAGGATCTATGATCATGATGATGCCTTACCTCATCCACTCATCCAGGGGATGAGTCGCCCCAGAGCGCTGAGGTTGTTTTGCCTGTAGCTTTTTTTTCACTTTGTGGCTTCTTTTGTTTGGGCAGCGTGATTCTTTAGACCAACCGGAGATGGACAACTTTGTATGTACTCAATTTCATTTTTGCTGATCGATCTGCTATCGATTGGGGAACGGAAATGGGCGCCTAAATTGACCGGCTGATACCGGGCGCCGAATTGCTTGAGGGAGCGCTCCGTTCATCACACACGTTCTCCTGGTCACAACTGTAAGAAACGACCTGGACCGCACCAGACGGCACAAGTGAGCTCCTATGAGGCGAGCGGCCAGCGGTACGACAGCCAGGAGTAGTGGTAATGACGGTACGTCCAGAAACTGAGTGGGGCCCGAAGTTGTCTTACTGCGTGTGCTCGCTTTTCAATACTGCACTTCTATTCCGCCGAAGCCACAGACGAGTCTCAGTACTGGGCCCAAGCAGTCGAAGCACTCGATGAACTCCTAGAACTTCGCAATTCTGCTGGGCCGCGAGAAACGCTTGCGAAAGTTAATGGATTCATCGCTGACCTTCCCGAGCTCGAGACCGAAACCGGATTCGAACAGTTCAAGTCGACCGAGAAGAAATTCGTTCATGGATTGGAGGAGTTACGGGATGGTGCACGTAAAGAGGTCAAGTGAGCAAAACGCTTAGCTTCTCGCGTATTTTTTGCGCTAGCCAATTGCAGGAATGTTCCTGAAATTCATTCACTCAATCTGGTCTAGTCTCATGGACCTGGCTTTGCAACGCTTGGAAGTAATAATTGCATTAAGAAACGCACCAGATGCGCCAATATCAGGTGCCCTCCCTCTCCATTTGTCGATTATTTCACACCCGCCTGTTAACGTTTTTTATTACAGACAAAAAGCGTAACAACCGGCTTCGATTGGACTCCCCCGCATCCGCCTCTGCGTCATCGACAACATCGCAAATACCACATGGACGAGTTGCTTCTGGTGCTGGCCCAACTGCATTGGCTAGTGTAGGAGGTGCCTCTGGCTTTACAGGGACAGGAAAGAACAAGAAAGGCCACCCGCCAAGTGGATTGGGAGGGCTCGAAGTTGGCCGAAAAGTTGCATATCATCAACCCGCGGGGATAGACCCTGCCACCGGTGAGGGAAGAGATAGTCAATGGATCCTTGTGAAATTCAAACGGCAACTTAATGCAAAGCTGTAAGTCCAGTAAATCTTCCCGTTATAAGGGCAATAACTAAATCATCCTATGATTCGCCTGGTCCTGTGCCCTTTGCCTAATTTAGGCATGAAGTTGAAGATGCTGATGATGAAGGAGCGTACGTCCATAATCATTCGTCGTGTGACCGTCGGTTCCTGATCCCTGTTAATATGACGACTACACTTGGGCTTGGGATCTGTTAGCCTGTACCAAGCTAGTTCGGATTCTCTGGTCGTGCTCCCCGATCCCAACTTTCCCAATTTATTTCCAGAGTACTCTCCGGGTACGAGAATATATGGATTATATCCTGAAACAACGTCTTTCTATCGTGCAACTATCCTCGAGGGTCCCAGGCGCTTTCCAGCCGCGGGTGGGGCTAGGGTGAGCATTACCATGACAAAGGCGGATCTCAAGCCACAAAAAGTGGAAGAGATTGGCCGCTGGCTTCTCTTCTCGCTTATTGTGGTCCTTCCTTCGTTATATTCAATTTCCTCTGAATTGTCGTTCCACGTTGCTGAACCGTTCCCTCCCTTTTCTGTAGACGGTTGCACCAGCAAAAGCAGACCGCATGTATAAAGTCCGATTCGATGACGATACAGCGCCCAGTTGCATCATACCTGCATTCCTAGTAATGCCAATACCTCCTGGCTGAGACTGTTCGTCCTGTTGTTTCTATCAGTGCGTGCCCTTGTGTTCGCCTGCTCTTGCTTCTCTTTTTTTGAGGCTCAGATACACTAATCCTTTTCCAACGTAGATTTCTATGCCATTGTTTGGAAATGAATGATCTGTTGCGAACTGTATCTTATTAACGGTAGCCACGTTTTGAACCCAGAAGTGCCAATTCTCTTTACCACACTCGTAGATCATTATTATGGTGTAATGCTCATATTCTGGATTTTCATGATGGGAAGAAACTTGCCTTATCGATAAGGGGCATTTCCTGAGGGTGAGCGTGACTGAGCGGCCTTGCCAATTCTGCAAACAATCGATGGTATCTTTTTTTTACCCAGTTGAGCGGTTTTCGGCCTGGTCTTGGTGTCTTGAAATGTATTCTTTTGAGTGTGGCCGTGCGAGAGTGACGGACTGGTTATGTAATACTTCGCGATTAATGGTCCTTTTCAGAAGCTCAACATCTGAACAATATTTTTTTTGTTCCCCCCCCCCCTTGGTTTTTATCAATCACTGCGTGTTCCTGCTGTAACGCTCCTCCCCCTACCAGAGATACGTACTCGAACGGAGAATAGCCAAGCTTTCCGCCGCGATCTGCCAAGACTTCTAAACACATTGACCTGAGTCGACCTTCATGACGCTCGAATCTGATGTGTGGAGTAAGCAGGAGCCAACCATTGTGGCCGCGTCGTACACACCAGCTCAGGCGGCTATGGGGTCTCTAGGGGTACGAAGTCCGAATTGGACCGCTAACTCATCTGTGGCCACACTGAGACACCTCCCCGAGGGGAATGCGCCCGACTGCACCCATTCGGTCCAGTCATCAGGAGCAGGCCCTCTCCCTCAGAACAAACTCAACAACACAAGCTCTCCATCTTTATCTCTCACTTCGGTTAACCAGACTGCGTCAAACTTGATTACCGAGATAGTCACCGTCCTACAGGCCATGTTGATCAAGTCGGATGGTCAACTTAGTCTTAGTGCGGGTTCGACTTCGACCGGTGATCCATTCCCACCTTCATCATCTCAGAGATCGAGAGAAAATGAACTCGACTCGATGCATCCAAGTCTCAACGGAGAGTCGTTGAGCACACGATTGGTACGCAATCTTTCGCTGCGTTTTTTTTTTCACATGCATCTGCGCTACATCTATTGAATCTACCAATATTCCAACTCATTCCCCACTAGAACATGCTAATTTCGTCACTCAAAACGTTGTGGGATAACAGTGAACCTGATCCCGGCGATTCCCTTCACTCCGCACAGTCGAAATCCGAATCCTCTGCTTTCCTTTGGCACTCTTCGGACATATCGGTCGAGCCTCAGGACCTGTGCACCCTGACCAACACTATTCACTACTTGGTATCGCACAATAAAGGTGTCACACGAGCACTATCGTTATTGCCTGACGCAACCAGGAGATCACTTGAGGCTTCAATTCAGTGTCTTGTGAGTTTCCTTATCAACAATTAAAATTTTGATCCCGTTCTATTATTTTTTTTTTCTTCGCCCTTCTATCCCTGAAGGCGCGATCAATTCAAATGTTGCGTCTGGATTTTCTCACACCGTTTTTACCGTTCCCCATCCAGGGTATTATTTGCCAAAGTTGTCATCTCCCGCTTCCGCAGGCGGAAGCCTCCGAATTCGATATCAGCCACAGTACTACTGGCGGTGGTGCGACAGCCGAATCAGGCGAGAATCCTCACCTGACAAGGGCGCCTGAGCAATTCGGCTGCACCGATCCTTTGCACCGCCGTGGTGCCTATAAGGTTGTTACCAGCGATGAACACCCTTCTCACATGGCCCATCCTCCCTCGTCGCAAGCGATTCCGTTCCCGTCCTCTATCGTCGACGCGGACAACAACAACAACAACGAGCGCGGGTATGAGCTCCATAACGAGGCCAAGGGTGATCGTGTCAAGGCGATATCTTTCGACGATCGCATGTCAAACGTGTCGTTATCGAGCTCGGATGAATCCCTGGAAGGGAACGATACGCGTCAAAGCTCCGTCTTGACGTCATCATCGCGCTCTGGTAGCGTGCCTTCGTTGACGATGACGGTTAGTAGCACGTACACCGGAACGGTCGAAACCGTTTGTGACACCGTACGAGACGTTCCTGCGACAATTACCATTGGGAAAAGTAGACGTCAAAGGGTGGGGTCGCTCATTTCGTTTTCACGAGCATTCTTACCCTCTCCTCCGGCGTCCCCTACGATCCTTGAATCCTCGCAATATCAATATCAAAAGTCAAACCTGGTTCGAGAATCTCCAGTGTTCGACATCACCCCTGTAGACGCAATTCACATGGCATACACTTTGCACAAATCCCCGCTGGCGCAAGAGGTCATTACTCCCGGTGAAGTTGAATCAATTTGGTCTACGACGTCAACCACACCTTCCGTTGTCACACGACTCAGGCATGACAGTCTCTTCCTCCCCCTCCCCTCTTTCGTCTTTTGGGACCGAGCCTCCGTCGCGGAACCAGAGGATATTCGCTCCGAGATGGACGCAAAGAATCAAAACGCGCAACATTGCTCGCCAGCCAAGGACGCTTTGTCCAAAATTCACTCTAAAACGGGGTCCCTGACCGGGCCAACACCACAAAATGAGGCGGGAGCCTCAACAGCGTCATCCCACCCCCATCCCCATCCCTTCTTGCACGCGTCCGGGCACGCGCTTCAACGCTTCATCCGTCAATGAGATTTTTCTTTCCATCGACTAGTTCTACTACACCCGCGGCCCCGGAAGAGCAAAACGTTCAGGTTGCGACGACACATACACAACCCCCGCGTGCCAACTCAGAATCGCCTACCCCCCCTTCCATCCCTGTGTCCCAAATGACACCTACTACACTTCCAACTCTTCAAAATAAACCAAAACAACCAACGACGCCAATCTCCTCTTCACCTCGACCCTCTAAAACATCTGGTCCGCCACGATCCAACCGCCGTCTCTCGCGAACTCCGCCGAACACTCTTGAAGCAACTCTTCTTTCACAAGAAGTACCTCGCATGGGAGACGACGACAAAGTTCTTCCTCTCCCTCCTTTAGATCCAGCACTCAAAGCCGTCGAACGTGCCAGCAAACTTCTCAAATCGACCGTTCGATGTGCGGTCTGTGGTGACGACGGAAAGGATTTCCCTCGATGTGGCAAGTGTGGCGAAGCTTGGTGCAGTCGGGAGTGTAGACTGAAGAACCTTCGAATCGCTGGAACGAAGAGACACGTTTGCTGTTTGGAAAAATTGGCTCAAGAACGGAGGAGGAGGCTTAGTACTACTACCTCTGCCGCTACCGCTCCAGGGAGCAATATCATGTGGGCGACCGCGCTCGCGGTGTAATAGTTTTCTTTCTTTTTTTTTTGGTTTGTCACTCCATGTAGTACATAGTTGGATAAGTTTTCGTTTTCTCTCTTTCTCGCGTCGTTGAACCGCCGCTGCATGCATATTCCCCCCCCCACCCCCTTTTTTTTTTCTTCTTCTTCTTCTTCCTTTGCACTTCGAATTCTTCTCGCGACCCCTCTTTGGATACAAACAAAAAATTTGGAGATGAATTGTCATTCCAGCACGTTTTGATCTTGTGGTTTGTCGTTTTATCCATGTTCCCCTGAAAAAATCAATTTCGTTGTTGCGCCTCATACATAGTAGATATGCGTTGGTTATCTCGGTATCCATGAGTGGCTCCCCTCCCCCCCCCCTCCCCCCAATTTACCTGATAAGTCTGGACTGGGGGGGTAGGAGGTCCTTCCGTATAGAAGCTCAACAATATTGGCTAGAATTCTACTAATTCGGTTAGCATGTTTGCGTGCACGTGAGGTGGAGTGAGGCTTAGGCAGATTGATTGTGGCTCAGAAGTGGATTGATAGATATCGTTCTAAATAGCAACCAATTCAATCTTACGCCGTTGTGGGGGAGGACCCCTCTATTCCAATAGAGGCCCAGTGACCTTGCCTAGTGGGGGCCCCTCGTGTTACATGTCGCCAAAATATTCTGGTGACAGTAAACGCCGACATGCACCCTTGCGCGTAAGTAGTCCGTGCGCGTGGGTCGTCCTAACCACCCCTAGCTCCTACTATACTATTCGTACCGTTGAACAGATACAGGAAAGCATCTGCGTTTGCCTACGTATATATATATCACAATTCAGATCCTCTTACTGTACATATCTCCAAAGCAAACGGCGACGGTGTGGGGAAAGGACGGAAATATGTAAAACTGGTTCCATCGCATGATCTAGAGTACATAAGTTGGAAGTTGGAAAAAGGTCTCCGCGCCTTTCGCCTTCTTTCACATGTTGAGGGGGGGGCCCAGCCCCACGCGCCACTTCTTATGAATGGTCGTCGGAAGAAGAAGAAGAACTCAGTTGCTGATCGTTAATCCATGGTTTTTTTTACATATGTAGTTCCTATTCTTATGTACATAATTCGGAATAACTTTTTGAACATTAATCCCACGTTTTTTTTGTGCGGTGCTAACTAAGAATCATGAAGGGGATAGATACGCCCCCCCACCTTCCATTGTTATCGCTGAGTCAACAGTCTGCCCAATGAGTCGGGTCCCGACGGAACGGACGGATCCAAGTCGCAACCGCTGGTCTGGACGGTGGAGAAGGTGCATGGGGGGGTTCGCAAACACTCGCAACATCACACCGAGCTAGTCGCTCGCGCAGCTTTTCGGTTTTAATTTTCTCTTGCGATGCATGGCATGCTGCCCCACATGCACACATGCAATAACACTGGGGGGCCATTATATAGTGCCAGCCCATCCAAACTATATACGTCGCCAAAAACCGGACCGCTTCCTTGGCTAATTAATGATAACTTGTACTCAGTTCTTACGATCAGCTTCGATCTTTCCAAGCAAGCAAAGCTAGCTGTGGAAAATCTAGACACACCCCAAGGTACGTACGTACGGGCACAGCCATAGAAATATTAATTAGCTCCAAAGCAGTCCTTCCGGACCGAAAGGCGGGCCCTTGCTGAGTAATGTGCAAAGTTCAGCAGCTAGAACGAGGGGCATTATATTAGTACTGAGAGAGAGTGACCGCGTCCCTTTTTCATGCCCGCCTCAGAGTTGGCAAGCCGCTGCTGTAGTATCTTCTGGCTCACACTACCACCAGCAGGGATAAGTAGTGGCTGGAGGATTACGTGTATTTCGGACATTCCCATGCCTAAATTAATTGCCGTGGGAGACCACGTTCGACCCCGGGTTGGGTCGGGAAACATTGGGGATTGGATCGAAGTGATTCCGGCCAGGTCTTGTGCTCAGTAACGAACTCGATGATTGAAGCTCAAAAATTTGGCCAATACATAATTACATATACACTTTAACATGGAAATCGCATTACATCCATAGAGGGCTGGTAGCCTGCTTGACATCAACGTCGAGAGGCGTGTAGCTCCAGGGTTATGTCACGTCCCATCGCCCTTCAATAGTATTCCTAAACTGGCTAAAGAACTTGAGTACTCCTCGAGTGATCCCGACCTTCACGAGAACGTCAGCAAAAACAAACAAACAAACAAAGCAAAGTTTTTGATCCATCTACGCACCATGGAGTCTCCAGCAGTAAGCGATCGATTTCTTCATCCTCCTCCTCGACTATCGGATATGTCTGTAGGGCCAAGTATAGCTGTTCGGCGGTCGCAGAACGAATCTCAATCACGATAACAAAACTGACTCAGTATCCCCGCCGGCCGTTTTTCCAAAGGGGTGATTGATTGTTTTAAAAAATGGTTTTTTAATACTCACAGTTGGGAACGAATGACTCAGGAAAAACTCTACGTAGGAAGCCGCTTGTCGTCGTAAACGTGGGCAAGAAAGCATGACGATTGACCTATATTAGAAACCCACCCCAGTGTGTTATTAAAATTAAAAAAAAAAAATGTAGCGATCATCAAACCGTCGCGGAAGACTTACACTTTCATCGAAGCCGTAATTCGTTGAATGTTCTTAAACTTGCTCAAGTTTCTGCATGCAAGATCGAGGGTTTTCTTGAGACTGGAAAGAAAAAAAAACTAATCAACTACAAAGGCCGTGCAACCCCGAAAGGCTCCGTTGGACGTACATAGCGCTACCGTCTTCGGAGTCACTGATTCGCTCCATCGATGCCTCTCGTAAAATCAGCTCGAAAGCTAGCATCACTGGCACAAAGCTCTGATTGGAAGCATAGTTCTCACGTCCGATGAAGTGTAAATCATCCAATAATGTGACAAGGCTGGTGTCATCATCATCAGGATTCGAAGAGACAATGGGAAGAGTTGAGGATAGTTGGACTAATGCATCAGACGCCGGTCGAAGCTAGAAGGGAGGTTACATTTGAAAAATGGCAAGAGTCGATATGCTCGAGGGAAGGGGAGGGGGGGGGGGACGTACGGTGCTTTCATTCCGGCTTCCGACGCTTAGTGTCAACCCTTGAAGCACTTGTTTCCGGTAGGTAGGAATTCGAAGAACCTCCACGATTCTTGGGAAGATGAAGGCAGGATTTAACCACTCAGTCTGCTCCCTGCGGAAGGAAGGAAAAAGAATTGGTTGGATACGATAATGAATGCGACATTCGGCATCCAACCTACGAATCGAATAACTTCCAAAGCGTCTCTTCTCCATCCAGGTGATATGCATCATAGCCCTTGGTCCCTGTCCCACCACCGATTCGTTGCAGTACACTACGTATTTGGATTCCGGCCTCTTGACGAACATTGTCGAGACGTTCCGCGCCTTGCTTCAATGTTCCGGAAATAGCAAGGTGATACGTTGGCTGAGGTAACCAATCTTCCAAGGTCGCTAGTTGTTTTTCTACGAAAAGTCGAGATATAGACGCGCCGATCGCTCGTACGCAAGCTATCCGTATCCAGGAGCCCACATCTCCACGCTCATCAGTGGTGTAGTCATTAAGGCCATTTATGAAAGCTCCGAATATTTCCTGGAACTTTGACTGGCCAATCTCTGCGATGGGAAGAAAAAGCCTGAGCGTCGAAACCACGTTTGCAGCTATATGTATATATACCTTGAAGGGTGCCGAAAGATGAACTTTCCACAATACGAGCCAAGGCTTCCAGAGCATTTCGACGCGCCTCCACATTTTTCGAGAATTTTGATGACTGTTGGGGAGATCAATCTTCCAGGGTCACGGTCGACGTGGGTCCACTCACATTGACGTCCACACAGTTTAAAAGGCAAGAAATGGCGTCATTGACGCCGTGAGGCAATTTGGAGTATGATAGGATACCCAATACTCGAGCCAGACTCTGTTGTGCAGAAGGCGGACTGGTATGGAGTTGCGTTACAGCTGTGCAATTATATGTTAGCTTTTCAATAACACACTTTGCGCGTCGAATGGAAATGGCCCTATCTATTAACGACATCCTTGCACAACACCAGTTGGCTGGTGGACGCAAATGCACGCGCAACAGCTTCTTGCACTGCAACGTTACGATGTTGAATGCATCGATCAAGAACGGGGCGCCACCATGTAGAAGCTTCGGGGAGACTTAAGGCAATTTCAGATGCAGAGGTCGCAATGAGGTCGCAAAGGGCTCCGAGCACGAGTTCATTGCCATACTTCTTGAGCACGGAAGGGGGTACTCTTCCCAGCAGTTTGAAGACCTGAGGTAAGAAGTCAATATGAACATTGTCGAGAATGTGGTGGGTATTTTGTGTACAACAGTACCTCGAGTCGATCGGCTTCCCGAGGCGGAATGGCAGAGTGAAACGCCAAAGCCAATTCAGAAAGACTCAAAAGAGAGCCATGAATTTCATTCAGTTCCGTTGATTTCAGCATTGGAGACTACAAAAAATTATTCACTTGGGCTTGAGCGCGTCTTTTCGAAGGAAAGTACACACCAATCGATGCAGCATTTCGGGACCGAGGTTCCCCAAATCTAATTGGCATAAACAACCAAGGGACTGGGCGGAAAGCGACCGTATAGCTGGATCCCAATGCTTGAGGGAGACATTAACGAGATGGTCAATGAAGTAGGACCGATATTCCAAGTGCCTGTTATCCTCAAAAAAAAAGGGATTTGTATTCTGCTTCACGGTTGGCGTTCAATCGCCTCAGACGTACACCGCTACTTGAGGCGCGGACTTCAGAAAGGCTGTCCTCCTAATGCTGACAGCGTAAAAATCTGTCTTGCGTAGTACGTCGATCCCATGAGGGAAGATTCCCTTGGAAGCAAACAATCCGATTGAGCTAGGAGGGGGGAGGAGGCGGGTGTTAAACCGTTGTAGCTGCATGGACTGACCTGTCGACCGACGTTCTCCTGAAAGGCAGCGCTCGCCGCTCTGCGAATGTGTATTTCCCTGTCGTACACCGAAACCGCGACCAGTCTTCTTGCCAACTCAGTGGCGAATGGTAGTAGACTATCGTTCGTCTGAGCTCTCGCAAGTGACCAAATGACATATGCGGCGGCGTCGCGGACGTTTGAGCCGATGGAGTGGGAGCCTCTTCGTACATCGAAGTATAGAGCCTATGGATAATTTAACAAAAAATGGGATAGATGCGATCAGCGTAGTAAGCACCTTGTACATCCAATTAAGGAGATCAGGGAGTCTTCTATCGGAGATGAGCCCCCGCCTAGCGAATTCGGCACATGCAAGACAGGCGCCATGCCATGTAGCCTCCGCAGCGGCTGGGAGGTCCAGTTGACCTCCTCCTTCGACGATATGGACAGAGAATAACGAAAAGATGTTATCGAGAATTTGATCGATGAAGTCGTACGGGAGTCGTTCGGCGATACGTGCTGATGCCTTGGCGGCGGCGTAGCGAACGATTGTGTCCTTATGTGATAGAAGGGAGATGTTGTGAGAACCATGTACAGAACGTGAAGAGAAAAGGGGTTAGTCACGTACCCGATCCTCTAATGCTGTGAACAAATATTCGAGTGCCTCTTCCACGGCTTCTGGGACGTCTGATAAGTCATCATCTACTGAGTTTCCATACGAATCCGCAGGCCCTTCGGTTTTGAGAACTTTTGCTGAAGTGATAAACTCATCATTAGTTTGTGGCTTGTGGCTGTATATTAACACTCACCCCGTTTCCGGGACGTTGAGCTCCTGGGAGGAGGAAGAACGACCAGCATTGCACGACCAGTAAGCTTACTCAGCCACTTTCGAATCACCGTATTGCCAGTGTAGTCTGTATCGTCGTGAATTGTTCGAATGAAGTCTATCATCTGGTCACGGTAGACGAGAGACTGTTGATTTGTGGAGGACTGGAAGATCTCGCCCATCACTCGAAGGATTCCTATGATCTATGTGCAGCTGTCCAGTCGGAAAAGGGAGACCGACCAAGAAGGGGAGATTTTCCGTACAAGGAATTCATTTCTGCTGGAAAGCGATTCCCTCGCCCACTGCAGGAAGCTTGGTAATCGGGACGATGTGTCGTTCCTGCGGAGGAAATTTCAGGAAACGCGTCAAAGCTCGTCAACGAATTGTCGCGCAAAAACCTCGTATATAGCCTAGACAACAGCAGCGCAGAGCTTTCGCTTTCCATACCAGATTTTTGCAAGTAAGTTTTCCCCAAATTTTCCAACGTCGATGCTGTATCCAAATCACTTGCATCTTGGTCGAAACGAGTCAAATCGAACGGTATGTTTGCAATGACGGACAGCCAGAGGATCAATATGTAGCGGAAGGACCAGCTTGTAGACTCATGCATGATTGGATCTGAGTTTCTAGCGAAGGAAACCATTGTCGATACATCTTGGACTTGGTGAGGAAAGAAGCGAGCTATGCAGGGAACGAGGCAGCTAGCCTGAATGGAAGTGAGGAAGTAGCATGTCCGATAAACGTACCAACAGTCTTGTGCCCTCTCGTTTTTGTTATCCAATAAATAAGCATTGCCAACTGGGTGACGCGAGAGGAAATCCTGGGACGCTTCTTAGCTTCGGTCCTAACATATTGATGCGTGTAATTTCGAAGCGACTCGATCGGGGGTGTAAGCATTCTCTTCAGATACGGATCGAGCAACCATGCTTGTTCTTGATATTCATCCAACTGACAAGATCAAAAATCCCGTTTTTAGCCTTGAAAGGGGAAAAAAGGGAGGGCACAGGAATTACAAGGAGTTGAAGCTTGGATAATGCCCATTTATCATTACCATCCTCTTCTGAGCTCGGTTCCACCCAAAGATTGGCTTGGAGGAGGTCATTCAAAAGCTTGAAATAGTCATCGGCGCGCTCGAATTTCGTGAATTGGAGATTTTCATTATCAGCTTTCTCCATAGTTCCTAGGCGTGAGCCAGCGAAGTGTCAAGGAGTGTGGCGCCGGAGATAAATCGAGATATCGGAATAATAACAGTCTGTGCGGCTTCTCGGTGACTGGCTTCGGGCGGCTCCGCCGCGACAAAGCCATTTTCGATTGAATTGTCACGTGAGCAATTTTCGGTTCCGCGCTCGCTCGCGCTCGAAAACGAGGCCCAACACAAAGTACTGCATACTGTACTGGCATGACCAACAACCGGTCACGCGTCACGCTGACCCTGCCGGTCGGCGTTTTTTTGGAATTTATCACGCGTCACACAGGCCTGCCGGCCCAATGTCCGGCATCACGCACTTTGAGTAGAATATAGTGGCTGTGCAAGCTTTCAATTCAAATGTTCCAACTACATCGTTAAAAGCGTGTCTGTCTCCAGATTTCTCGCCTGTTTAAGCCGCTTACCCCATCCCAACTCACCACTACCAACTTCAGACCCAACTGCCACAGTGAATTCTCCAATGGATTCTGCATTGTCCTCTTCAGCAGCATTCCAACTCAACTGAAGGCCACCATTCATGTCGGCAAGGCCATCAGGCAGGGTTCCGGTGTCGAGATGTTCATAAACCTCCTCCAACATCACCTCCACATCATCCTCTATGGCTTCTGAGAATTGTCCTTCATGTACTACCGTAGTAGAGTTAGGATGAATCCCACTGTCACCAGTAGGATGCTTGCGAGAACAGCCTGTAGCAACCAATGAGAAATTTAGGGGTGTTGTTGTATGTGATAGTTTCCTCAGCACAAGCCACAATACAGCTGGCAAGCACAAATCCATCCATAATACCAGGCAGAAAATTTGACATGAGAATTTCCATTTCAAAATTCAAATATTATCAAACTCTCTCGGATATAAGACAGAAAACCCGTTGTCTGAGGGGTTGTGTCATGCAGTTCTGGCCTCGGCCTGTTGGCTGTCATGCATCACTCAAGCTTGCCGGTCGGATGTCCGGCATCACGCTCCAAACTGGATGATGCATGACCGGTTGTTGGTTGTGCCAGTACAGTATCTTGGCACCCACATGAGCTAGCCTCTTGCGGTTTGCTGAAAAACGTTTGTCACTTCATTCCCTCGAGACCTTTTTGAGCGATAGTCGTACTGTACTATAATGACCATAAGTTCGTTGCATGTCACACGAAGATTTTGGATTGAATTGATTTGGAGCCTCCGGAAACTTCCGGAGGCTGTGGGAATGAACTAATGTTCGTTATACTACAGTAATTCTCATTTTTTGTGAGTTTAGGTTTTCCACCTTTATGCACGATTTCCTTGACAACAGCTTGGCAGAATTGGCTGAAATTTAGGCAGAACAGAGTACTACCCTATACCTTGGGTGTTTTTTCTTTGTTTGTTGGTGCATTTTATTTTTGATTTTTTATCATTTATTTGGTCTCAATCACATTGAAATGTGTTTGTGCACAGTTTCCTTGACAATGGCTGGGCAAAATGGGCCAAAATTTAGGCAGGGAGGAGTGAAACCCTATACCTTGGATGGTTTTTTTTCTTTTGTTGGTGTGTTTTGTTTTTGTTTTGTTATCATTTATATGATCTCAATAGCATTAAAGTGCATTTATGCACAGTTTCCTCGACAACTGCTCAGTGGAACCAGGTGAAAGCTGGGCACTAAGTAGTTTTACCCTTTACCTCAGTGTAAGGAGTGGTAACCCCACCCTTCATTCATTATCTTATTGTATATTTGTCTCGATTTAAACATGTATAAACAATGTATATACAATAATGTGGGAATTTGGGAAAAGGAACAGAACTCCTTTTCCTCCCCATCGTTGATAATTAAAGCTCCATACAGCTCAACTTTATTGACGACCTGAGGATTGAGGAGAACTGGGGTTGGAACCTACACCAACCCCTTACACTCAGGTTCTCTTTCTAATTTTTATCACTTGCAGCTATGAACACTTCAAGTAGGGACTGAATGAATATGCTGCAAGAGTGTAAGGAATGGGTGTTGGATGTTCTCCTTTTCTTTATTCAATCTTTATTCCATTGTATTGTCAGGGACATGTCCGGGGTCAAAGGGGCCCAGATGTATCGCCTGGTGCTGAGGCCTTCGTGGGGCGCAGAACACATGTGTGTACTGATGGGCCTGACATGGGACAATGGTCCCTGGCCACTTAGACTGAAGTGGGAATGATGAGAAGAAGGTTACTTCTTCGGTTCCCACCCCAGGTGTGTTTATATACATGTGGCTTGGGTCACATGAGGCCTGCCATGTCACCCTGCATACAGCTGCAGTCACCTGGGTGTCCCCACAGGGGATCCCAAGGGTGTATGCTGTGCATGTGTGTACTAGGTTGCACCCTGGAGCTGTCTGGGGCGTCCGGGGCTGGGCATGTCATGTGCACATCGCAGGCAGGTCGATAGTACATAGATATAAAGGAAGGTCATCCGTGTAAGATAGAAATAGGAATAGAGATAGAAACAGAAATAGAAAAGAAGGTAGAAAGGAGGAAGAATAAGAAAGAAGAACATAAGATGAAAGAAGGGGGAAGGAAGGGGGTACTGGGTGAGGTGGACCTGGGTGGACCTGGGTGGAGGGGGGGTTGGGTGTGCCCTGACATGTATACAATGTAAAACAACTGTATTTACATATGTATAGCTCGGGCTTGGGTAAAGGGTTCTTCACTCTTTACCCTCACCCACTTGTCGAATCATAGCTCAATACAGCCTAGATCTTGACAGCCTGTCAGGGCACACCTGCCTGACCCGGCTCCACCTGCCCTCACCTGGTATCCCACTCACCTCTATTCCTCACCCTTCATCACTGTTCCTCACTTCTTGTTCTTCCTTTTGTCCTTTTGTTCTTTTGCTCTTTTGTTCTTTCTTCTATCTTTATCTACATGGACGACCTTTCCCCATATCTATGTATTATTGACCTGCCTGTGACGTGCGCACAACACACCCAGCCCCGGATGACCCGGACGCCCTCACGGTGCAACCCAGCACATGCATGTGCAGCACACCCTCAGGATCCCCCACAGGGACACCCAGATGACTGCAGCTGTATGCGGGGTGATGTGGCAAACCTCATGTGACCCAAGCTGCATGTACATAAAGGTACCTGGGGTGGGAACCGAAGAAGTAACCTTCTTCTCATGATTCCCACTTCAGGTAAGTAGCATAGTTTCCCCTTTTAATAACAACTCACGATTCCCACTTCAGTCTGAGTGGCCAGGGACCATTGTCCCACATCGGGCCCATCAGTACGCATGCCCGCTCCACACCCCATGACGGCCTCAGTGCCAGGCATTACACCTGGGCCCCCTCAACCCCGGATGTGTCCCTGACACAGCCAGAGGACTGAGGAGTCACCCAGGTCAGAACCCCAACCGACCTTACAAAGAGCAATCACCACAATCCAGACTTTAAAATCATCATTTGAAAAGTTCAGAGGTGCCATGAGATGTAATGAAGGAAGGAGCCGCTATGTACACTTGAACAATACATAAATTAGTAGTGTTCTGGATGTACTTGAAGATAGCCACAAGGAAGATGAAAATGATAGAAACCAGAAAGAGAACCTGAGGTAAAGTAAAGGGTAAGACTACTTACTGCCCAGCTTTCACCCGGTTCCACTGAGCAGTTGTCGAGGAAACTGTGCATAAATGCACTTTAACACTATTGAGATCATATAAATGATAACAAAACAAAGACAAAAAGCACCAACAAAAGAAAAAAAAAGCACCCAAGGTATAGGGTTTCACTCCTCCCTGCCCAAATTTTGGCCCATTTTGGTCAGCCGTTGTCAAGGAAACTGTGCACAAACACATTTCAATGTGATTGAGACCAAATAAATGATAAAAAATCAAAAATAAAACGCACCAACAAACAAAGAAAAAACACCCAAGGTATAGGGTAGTACTCTGTTCTGCCTAAATTTCAGCCAATTCTGCCAAGCCATTGTCAGGGAAATCGTGCATAAAGGTGGAAAACCTAAACTCACAAAAAATGAGAATCACAACTATCGCTCAAAAGAGTCTCAAGGGAATGAAGTGACAAACGTTTTTCAGCAAACTGCAAGAGGCTAGCTCATGTGGGTGCCAAGATATGCAGTACTTTGTGTTGGGCCTCATTTTCAAGTGGAACCGAAAATTGCTCACGTGACAATTCAATTGAAAATGGCTGTATACTGCTATCATGAGAAATTTGGCCTCACATTCAGCGAAGCTCTCCAGACACCTTCAGCAAGCAGGACTTCGTACAATACTTGTGCTCTACCATGGTTGGAGCTGGATATCTGTCAACAGTCCAATCTATTTACCTTGCATGATGTCAGGGCACACCCACCTGACCCGGCTCCACCTGGCCCAACCTGACCCGGTACCCCGCTGTCCACCCTTCCTCACCTCCTCCCCCTTCCCCTTCCTCTCTCCTCATTCTCCCTTCCTCACTTTCTTCCTATCTTACTTCTTCTTTATTCTCTCTTTATTCTACATGGACAACCTTCTTTGTATCAATGTACCATTGACCCATCTGCTGCACGCCCACCATGTACCCAGCCCAGGCACCTCGGGCGACTTCCCACTGTGCCCAGCATGCGTGCATGCACCAGATGGCCTCAGGATCTCCCACGGAGACACCCGGGTGGTTACGGCTGTGTGTGAGGGTGACGTGGCACCTGTCATGTGATCTAAGCCGCATGTATATAAATGAACCTGAAGTGGGAACCGAAGAAGTAGCCTTCTTCTCAACTTTCCACTTCAGTCTAAGTGGCCAGGGACCACTGTCCCACATCGGGCCTGTCAGTATGCACGCCCGATCTGCCCCCCGCCAGGCTCTCAGCCCTGGACACTACATGAAAGGTTATCTTACTAGTTTGGGGACAGTAACGTTCCGTTCCCCTGTTCACCTCAGGCCTCAGATGTCCGTCTAAGTATACGCTTGAATTTGCTGTATATTAATGGGGTAGAAGTAAAGGCTGATCCGCCTTTTGCAGCTACCCCAAGGGTT